GTGACAAGGAAGATCAAAACATACACTCAGATGAACACAACAAAGGCAAAGGTCCTACATCCAAAGCCTCCAATAAAAATATGAATTGGTCTCAGGCCAGGGAAGAGCTCAAAATGGATTTTGAAAATGAAATAAGAGATGTAGAGGAAAAACTGGATAGATAAATGATAGTGAAGAAAGAAAATCATGAAAAACAAATCAACAGCTTGGTAAAGGAGGGAGATGTGCATGCGTACGTGCGCGCGCGCACACACACACACACACACACACATACACACACACACACCTCTGAAAAAAACAACACTTTAATAAAACAGAGCAGGCCAAATGGCAAAAGAGGTCCAAAAAGTCAATGAGGAGAAGAATGTGTTAAAAAGCAGAACTGGCTAAATGGAAAAGGAGGTCCTAAAGCTCACTGAAGAAAATAATTCCTTAAAACTTAGAATGGAGCAAATAGAAACTAATGACTTCATGAGAAATCCAGAAACAATAAAACAAAACCAAAAGAATGAAAAAATAATTGAAGACAATGTGAAATAACTCATTAGAAAAACAACTGACCTTGAAAATAGATCCAGGAGAGATAATTTTAAAACTATTGGACTACTTTTAAGCCATGATCAAACGAAGAGCCCAGACATCATCTTTTAAGAAATTATCAAGGAAAACTGCCCAGATATTCTAGTAGAAATGGAAAGAATCCACCAAATACCTCCTGAAAGAGGTCCCCAAATGAAAACTCCCAGGATTATGATAGCCAAATTCCAGAGTTCCCAGGTGAAGGAGAAAATATTGCAAGCAGCCAGAAAGAAACAATTCAAGTATCATGGAGACACAGTCAGGATAACATAAGATTTAGCAGCTTCTACACTAAAGGTTTAACCGGAAGGGCTTGGAATATGATATTCCAGAGGCAAAGGAGCTAGGATTACAACCAAGAATCACCTACCCAGTAAAACTGAATATAATCCTTCAGAGGAAAAAAGGGACATTCAATGATAGAGGAAATTCAAGCATTCTTGATGAAAAGACCATAGCTGAGCAGAAAATCTGACTTTTAAATACAAGACTCAAGAGAAGCATAAAAAGGTAAACAGAAAAGAGAAATCATAAGGGACTTAATAAGGTTAAACTATTTATATTACTACATGGGAAGATAACATTTGTAACTCATAAGACCTTTCTCATGATTAGAGTAGTTAGAGGGAACACATATAGATAGAGGGCACAAGTGTGAGTTAAATATGATGGGATGATATGAAAAAAATAAAGTTAAGGGGTGAGAGAGGAATGTACTGGGAGAAAGAGAAAAGGAGAGGTAGAATGGGGTAAATTATCTCACATAAAGAAGGCAAGAAAAAGGTTTTACAGTGGAAAAGAAGAGAGAGGACGTGAGAGGGACTGAGTGAACCTTACTCTCATCAGAATTGGCTCAAAGAGTATGGAATAACACACACACTCAACAGAAATTTACCTAAGAAATCCATCCAGCTGATGGGTGATACAGAAATGGGGTCTTGCTGTTGGCGGATCTCACTACTGGTCAGCAATGGGGGCAAGGACTCACTGGTGGCCTTTGCTAAGGGTGGGGCTTTGTTGTGATGTATGATTGCTGGTTTGCCTGCCAAGGGACATGGGGGTGGGGGTGTAGGGGGCTGCTGCCCTACAGGAGGACGGGGCTTGGCTGGTGGATTGCCCCATGTTTCGGACCTTGCTGCAGGCCCCTACTGGGAGGCTGGCTGTTGCTTCTCTTGGACCTCTCTTCTCACCTCAGTCAGACAAACCTGTTCTGCCATGCTAGGAAGCTGCTTCCCTGATCCTAGATCATTTCTGAGGTGTTTTTTGTTTGCAGGGGAACTTGAGAGGAAGTTCCTTCCTCACTCAGCCATGTTGACACTGGAAGCCTCAACCCACTTCTCAAACTGTCAAATCTGATATTTTAGGTTTTTACTTTTTCCAAAATAATCCTTCTTGACCTATTTGTTGTATTTGACTCATCTGAACCCAGATACTCTCTTCTCGAGTTTTTGTGATACTATTTTCTTCTGTTTTGCCAGCTACCTGACTAACTGCATCAAAATTCTTTGCTAGTTCATCACACATATCATTTCACGAACTTGCATATTCTTTAGGTTTCTTTTTTTTGTCCTTTTCTCTGCTCCCTCTATACTTTCTCACTAACCAGCAATGGCCTTCTTGCTATTCCTCACACATGACATTCCATTTGCCCAATCTATTTCTTTCCACTGACTGTCTCCTACTCTGGGAATGCTCTTTTTTCTTGTCTCTGCCTATATCTTCCCACAAGACTCAGCTCAAATCTTACCTTCTCCAAGAAACTTTTCCTAGTCAACTTTATTGCTAGTGCCTTCTCTTGAGATTATCTCCAATTTACCTTGTACATTACATTGTTAATTGCATGTTTTCTCCCTCCTTAGAATGTCAAATTCTTGAGAGTAGAGACTGCTTATACCTTTCTTTTTATCTCCTGCACTTCACACAGTACCTACCACATAGTACGCTTAATAAATGTTTGCTGATTTTCCTTTGCTGATGATTACCAGATCTATAGATCCATCCTATCAGTCTCACATCACCAATTGCATATCTGACATATCAAACTAGATGTCCAAGAGAGATCTTAAACTTAATATGTCTAAAACGGAATTTACTATTGTTCTTCCTAAACTTACCCCTCTCCAATAAATCAATACACATTTATTAGGCACTATATGCAAGGCACTATGCTAACCACTGCAGATCAAAAAAAAAAAAAGGAAAAAAGGGGCAAAAGACAAAGAGCTTACAATCTAATAAGGGAGAGAACATGCCAACAAATACATGTAAGGTAAGCTATATTCAAGATAAACAGGAAGTAATTAACAGAGGGAAGGCACCACAATTAAGAGGAACTGGGGAAGGCTTCCATTTTAGTTGTGAGTTAAAGGAAGCTAGAAAGGTCAGTAGGTGGAGTGAAGAAGGGAGAACATTCTAGGGATGAGGAACAGCCACAGAAAATGTCCAGAGCTGAGAGATGGAGTGTATTGTTCATGGAATGGCCAGGAGGCTAGTGTCACTGGAATGAAGAGAACGTGGGGGAATAAAGTGTAACAAGACTAGAAAGACAGAAGACCACGTTATAAAGGACTTTGAAAACCACAAGAGCATTTTGTATTCAATTCTGTAGGCAATAGAGAGATACTAGAATTTACTGAGGAGGGAGGGGTGATAGGGTCAGCTCTGTACTTCAGGAAAATCACCTCAGTGGGTGAATGGAGGATGAACTATACCATGGGGAGAGATCTGAGGCAGGCTGACCCACTAGTCAGCTATTAGTGATGATAGCCTACACTATAGTGACAGCAGTGTCAGAGGAGAGAAGGGGATACACTCACAGATGTTGCCAACGTAAAACTGACAACAGACTGAAAATTAGCAAAAGACTGAATATTTGGAGGTGGGAGGAGATAGTAAGGAGTCTAGGATATTCCTAGTTGTGTTACAAGACTTTTTGCAAGCCTCCCTATTTCTATCAAAAGCACTACCATACAGTTTGCAAGTTTCATAACCTTGGCAGTATGCTAGATTCCTAAATCTTCCCAATCAAGATACCACCTTAATTTAGGCCTTCATCACCTCTCATCTAAATTATTGCAATAGCTTCCTAATTGGCATGCTTGCCTCAAGGCATTCAATACTCCAGTCCATCCTACATACTGATGCCAAAGTGATTTTCCTTAATAGCAGATCTGGTCATTTGACTCCCTTATATAACCAACTCCAATGACTTCATACGATTTTTAGGATAAAATATAAATTCCTCTCTTTACTTTTTACAGTTTTGTACAAGCTGACCCTAATCTATCTTTCCAGCCTCAAATATATTTTTACATTCTGGGATCCAACCAAACTAGCCTTTCTTTGCTTCAAAGAGATTGTACTCTATTGCTTATCTCTGTGACTTTGTAATGGTTATACTACATACCTGAAATGTGTTCCCCTCCTTATCTAAAATACATAAAAGTCCCTTCCATCCTTTCACATGAAGTTCAAGCAGCATTTTCTGCATGATCCCTCCAATTACCAGTGCCCTCCATTCCAAACTACACTGTGTTTAACAGTGGATATAACCGTATTTTTCACTTCATCGATAATGCTGTATGTATTTGCGTGTACATTTGCCATCTTCCTCATTACAATATAAGCTCTTTGAAAATTGGTGGTTTTTTTTTTTTTATCCCCATCACCTAGCATGATCCCTGGAACATAGTGGGTGGGTGTTTAGTAAATACTGGGTATCCCAGGAGTCTCAGTATAACTGTAAGCTATTAAAGTACCCTGTACTCAGAGCTTTATTACTGAGAGCATCAAAGCTTTTCTGTTTATTGTTCAGCTGAGGAGCTTTTTGGTAACTATACCACCTTCTCTTCAAGGTTGACTTGTAACTTTCATGCAGAATAATTATAAGCAGAAATAAACAATTTTACACATTAAATGGCTTAAGCCATTCAATGGCTTAAATCATTAAGGACTGAATCTCTGAGTACTGATTTTCAGAAAAGACAGAAATTGAGATCTGAGAGTAAAATTATTTCTTGTGGACATGTAATGATACACACCTTATCCCTGGCCCTCTCACATCATGCCCATGATTACCCAAAAGGTAAAATGGATAATTGGACCCGAAACTAGATGATATCTAAGATCCCATCAAGCTCTAAATATAATTTTATATAACTTTATTTTACACAACTCCCCATTCAGAAACACAGTGTTAATCTACTGATTTTTGAGTAGCTAGTAACAAAAGCTGCTATGATTCACAGTTTTGTTAATAATAAAAAGCTCAGAAATTTCCATAAAGTTATTTTTGTGTAGTCTTTGGGTGTCAAAATACAAACAACAGCCTCCAAATTTCTGAAATAAAACAATCAAATACAGTATTTCAAATAGTTAATGAAAGAAACAGCAGCTCATCTAAAATTAGCTGAAACACTTACCTTAGGGAATTGTTTTACAGGAATTAACACTTTCTGTCCCAGCTTCATGTTCTTATTAATCACAACATCAATGTACTTTTCCTCTTCCTTGCTCTCTCCTTTCTGGAACTTCTCAATTTCTGCAGGGTAGAAGGAGACAAAAGTCATGTATGATGAAGTTGGTAACTTACTATATTCTAGAAGTCATCAACATGGTCATCTTTATCATGGTTCAAAACACACACAGAAACTAAAATGTGAACTGGCTATAGAATAAAACACCTACTTTGATATTTAATTTCAATGATACTTTAAAAGTATTAAATAACATAAAGCTGTAAAGTCAAACACCAATTGTTCATGGCAATGGATAACACTAATCTGAATAATATAGAAGAATTATTTCCCTAGGAATTTCCTGAATTTCATATACATAAGAACTATACTCTACAAATCTGCACACATTTTACACTTTCAGGATTTGATCTCCGATCCGCTTTCTACGGAAAAAAGAATTAGTCTAATCTCTCTTCTCTTTGTATTTCTAGTATTTAGCAAAGTTCCCTTGCACATACTTAAGTGTTCATTTTTCTTCTTTGTTTCACAATGATCCATTCATTCACTGATTCATTTTAAATGAGGACTTTTGAATAGCTAAAGATAACTATCATATCCATTCCTAAATATTCTTTTCCAGAAAAAGGATCCCCAGTCTTTCAGTTAATCATTAGAAGGTAAGATCTTTTTAAAAAATCTTTATTACTTTATTTTGATTTATCAACAATCACTTCCATATGCTTTTGACTTGAAAGTTTTTCTCTCCCTTCCTCCCCCCCACCCTCCCCCAAACGGCACACAATCTGATACAGGTTTTGCATTTATATTCCTCTTAAACATATTTTCACATTAGTGAAGTTGTAAGCAAAAATTAAAACCAGTAGGAGGAACTATCAGAAAGATGAAACAAAACTCAACAAAAGGTAAAAATAAGTGATAGCGACTCAACTTCCATAGTTCTTTCTTTGGATGTGGACAGCATTTTCCATCACGAGGTCTCTGGAGATGTCTTAGATCCTAGCAGTGCTGAGAGGGGTTAAGTTTAACAATATTAGTCATCACACAACGTGGCTGTTATTGTGTACAAAGTCCTCTTGGTTCTGCTCACTTCACTCAGCATCAGACTATACAAGTCTTTCCAGGTTTTTCTGAAGTCAACCTGTTCATCATTTCTTATAGCACAATAGTATTCCATTACATTCATATACCACAACTTGCTCAGCCATTCCCCAATTGATGGGCATCCTCTCAATTTCCAATTCTTTGCCACCACAAAAAGAGCTGCTATGAATATTTTTGTACATGTGGGTCCTTTTCCCATTTGTTTAATCTCTTTGGAATATAGCCCTAGAAGTGCTGTTGCTGGATCAAAGGGTATGCACATTTGTGTAGCCCTTTGGGCATAGTTCCAAATTGTTCTTCAAAATGGTTGGATCATTTCACAACTCCACCGACAATGTATTAGTGTTCCAATTTTCCCACATCTTCTCCTGTTTTGTCACGTTGGCCAATCTGATAGGTGTGATGTGGTACCTCAGAGTTGTTTTGATTTGCATTTCTCTAATCAATAAAGATTTAAAGCATTTTTTCATATGACTATAGATGGCTTTAATTTCTTCATCTGAGAACTGTCTGTTCATATCCTTTGACCATTTATCCACTGGAGGATGGCTTGTGTTTTTATAAATATATCTTGATTCTCTATATATTTTAGAAATGAGGCCTTTATTGGAGAGGCTGGTTGTAAAAATTCTTTCCCAATTTTCTACCTTCCTTCTAATCTTAGTTGCATTGGCTTTGTTTGTGCAAAACCTTTTCAATTTAATATAGTCAAAATCATCCATTTTGCTTTTCATAATGTTCTCTATCTCCTGTTTGGTCATGAATTTTTCTGTTCTCCATAGATCTGATAGGTAAACTATTCCTTGTTCTCCCAGTTTACTTATGGTATCAGCCTTTATATCTAAGTCATGAACCCATTTTGACTTTATTTTGGTATATGGTGTGAGATTTGGGTCTATGCCTAGTTTCTGCCATACTCTTTTCCAGTTTTCCCAGCAGTTTTTTTCAAAGAGTGGGTTCTTATCCCAGAAGCTGGGGTCTTTGGGTTTATCAAATAATAGATTACTATAGTCATTGACTACTGTGTCTTGCATATTTAACCTATTCCACTGATCCACCTCCCTATTTCTTAGCCAGTACCAAGCAGTTTTGATGACTGCTGCTTTATAATACAATTTAAGATCTGGAATTGCTAGGCCACCTTCCCCTGCATTTCTTTTCATTAGTTCCTTTGATATTCTGGACCTTTTGTTTTTCCAAATGAATCTTGTTATTATTTTTTCTAACTCTATAAAATAATTTTTTGGTAGTTTGATTGGTATGGCACTGAATAAGTAAATTAGCTTAGGTAGGATTGTCATTTTTATTATATTAGCTGGCCTACCCATGAGCAACTGATGTTTTTCCAATTATTTAGATCTGATTTTATTTGTGTGAAAAGTGTTTTGTAATTGTGTTCATAGAGTTCCTGGGTTTGTTTCAGGAGGTAGACTCCTAAATATTTTATAATGTCTACAGTAAGTTTAAATGGGATTTCTCTTTCTATCTCTTGCTGTTGGGCTTTGTTGGTAATATATAGAAATGCTGATGATTTATGTGGGTTTATTTTATAGCCTGCAACTTTGCTAAAGTTGTTTATTATTTCAAGTAGTTTTTTACTTGATTCTCTAGGATTCTCTAAGTATATCATCATGTCATCTGCAAAGAGTGATAGCTTTGTTTCTTCTTTGCCTATTCTAATGCCTTCAATTTCTTTTTCTTCTCTTATTGCTAAAGCTAAGGTTTCCAGTACAATATTGAATAACAGTGGTGATAATGGACATCCTTGTTTCACCCCCGATCTTATTGGAAATGCTTCTAGCCTGTCCCCATTACATATAATGCTTGCTGAAGGTTTTAGATATATGCTATTTATTATTTTAAGGAAGACTCCATTTATACCTATGCTTTCTAGTGTTTTTAATAGGAATGGGTGTTGTATTTTATCAAAAGCTTTTTCTGCATCTATTGAGATGATCATGTGGTTTCTGTTGGTTTTGGTGTTGATATGCTCAATGATGCTGATAGTTTTCCTAATATTGAACCAACCCTGCATTCCTGGTATAAATCCTACCTGGTCATAGTGTATTATTCTTGTGATAAGTTGCTGCAATCTATTTGCTAGTATTTTGTTTAAAATTTTTGCATCTATATTCATTAGAGAAATTGGTCTATAATTTTCTTTCTCTATTTTGACTCTTCCTGGTTTAGGTATCAGCACCATATTTGTATCATAAAAAGAATTTGGTAAGACTCCTTCTTCACCTATTTTCCCAAATAGTCTATATAGTATTGGAATTAATTGTTCTTTAAATGTTTGATAGAATTCATGTAAATCCATCTGGCCCTGGAGATTTTTTCCTAGGGAGTTCATCAATGGCTTGTTCAATTTCTTTTTCTGAGATGGGGTTATTTAAGTATTTTACTTCCTCTTCGTTAATCTGGGCAATTTATATTTTTGTAAATATGTATCCATTTCACTAAGATTGTCAAATTTGTTGGCATATAGTTGGGCAAAATAATTCCTAATTATTGTTTTAATTTCCTCTTCCTTGGTGGTAGCTTCACCCTTTTCATTCTTGATACTAGTAATTTGGTTTTCTTCTTTTTTTTTTTAATTAAATTAACCAAAGGTTTATCTATTTTATTGGTTTTTTCATAAAACCAGCTCTTAGTTTTATTTATTAGTTCAATAGTTTTCTTAATTTCAATTTTATTAATTTTTCCTTTGGTTTTCAATATTTCTAATTTGTTTAGTTGAGGATTTTTAATTTGTTCTTTTTCTAGTTTTTTTAGTTGTATGCCCAATTCATTAATCTCCTCTTTTTCTATTTTATTTATGTAAGCATTTAGAGATATAAAACTTCCCCTAAGAACTGCTTTGCTGCATCCCATAGTTTTGGTATGTTGTCTCATTATTGTCATTCTCTTGAATGAAATTATTGATTGTTTCTATGATTTGTTGTTTGACCCAATCATTTTTTAGGATTAGATTATTTAGTTTCCAATTATTTTTTAGTCTATCTTTCCATGGCCCTTTATTACATATAATTTTTATTGCATCATGATCTGAAAAGGATGCATTTAATATTTCTGCCTTTCTGCATTGGATTGTGAGGTTTTTATGCCCTAGTACATGGTCAATTTTTGTGTATGTGCCATGTACTGCTGAGAAAAAAGTATATTCCTTTCTATCCCCATTCAGTTTTCTCCAGAGGTCTATCATACCTAACTTTTCTAATGTTCTATTCACCTCCTTAACTTCTTTCTTGTTTATTTTGTGGTTAGATTATCTAGTGCAGAGGGGAGGTTCAGGTCCCCCTAGTATAGTTTTGCTGTCTATTTCTTCCTGTAACTCCCTGAACTTCTCCTGTAAGAATTTGGATGCTATACCATTTGGTGCATATATGTTTAGTAATGATATTACTTCATTGTCTATGGTGCCTTTTAGCAGGATGTAGTTTCCTTCCTTATCTCTTTTGATTAGATCTATTTTTGCTTTTGCTTTGTCTGAGATCAGGATTGCTACCCCTGCTTTTTTTACTTCAGCTGACACATAATATATTCTGCTCCAGCCTTTTACCTTTACCCTGTATGTGTCACTCTTTTTCAAATGTGTTTCCTGTAAACAACATATTGTAGGATTATGGTTTTTAATCCATTCTGCAATCCTTTCGTTTTATGGGAGAGTTCATCCCATTCACATTCACAGTTATGATTACTACTGTGTCTTTTTTTTTTTTTTTTTTTTCTTTCTCTTTTCTTTCTCCTTTTTCCTTTCCCCCTTCACTAGTGTTTTGCTTTTGACCACCGCCTCCTTCAGTCCCTCCCCCTTTTATTATCCCTTTCCCTTTTCTTCCCCTTTACTCTTACTGCTTCTTCCCTCCCTTCTTCCCCCCTCCCTTTTCTTCCCCCTCTTTTCTTTCCCTTTTCCCTCCTACTGCCTATAGGGCAAGTTAGATTTCTATAACTAATGATTTAT